CCTGGGAGATTTTAACAGCGGATCAGCTCCACGTATTCAGGGTAGCGTTGTGCACAGCATGCGTTCATTTTATTTTCAGTAGAAGACCTTGGTTAAAACGCTGGGATGCCTATGCCGCAGTGCAGGGCAGAGACACACAAGCTGGCTTTCAATGAGCCAGCTTGGGTCCTGGAAGGCGTGTAGAAAGAAGTAGCAGCATGAAACTCAGCCAGAAGCAGGGTAAGTCAGTCCCTGTTGAGCCCCAAGATTATTTCCAGTACCGGTGCTAACCTCGTTTTATCGTACACTGCACTGCAGCCTGCAGGATAGACACGCGTCTCTATCAAAAGCGTATGGTCCTCTGAAAAGCCACGAAAACACACACACACATCCACAAAGGACCCCAGAACGTACGGACAGGCTTGATGATCTAAAACCATCTTTCACAGCCTTTTTGGGTGGGTGACACTTCAAAGCTAGACATTTTCATGGCCTTCCTTCTTCTATGTAATGAAAACAACGCAAGTATGATGAGCAGCTATAAGGCAACCACAGCCACTGCATTTGACTTCACAAACAGGGGAGATTTCAGCCGGCCCTAAGTTATCCTGGAACCTGTGTTTGCTTTGCACTAACATTTCTCAATCACAACCCCCTCCCCTGCCTGATGACAAGACTCCTCCTCCCCCATTTGCAGAGAGGTTGTGACCCAGTGGTTGCAAAACACCTTCAAAAGGTGCCAAGGGTGTTTTGACCTTCCCCGTCAGGCTATAGAGCTTGCTCTTCAAAAGCAGCAGGAGCCAAGACCCACGCTTTCCTAATCAGACAGACCCTTACCTGCTGCTTCTCTGGACTTGGCCATCAAGGGAGGAATGAGCAGCATATCGACAGCAGATACCTGTGCTCAAGATTGCTCCGAGCTGAAATGTGAATGTAATTTTTGGGATGGCTTGTCTGCAACTTGAAATGCCACTTATTCCAAAACCCTATTGACTCCCCATACAGCACGCTTGTCATCTACCCTATGCCCGAGACAGCCGAGAAGAAGGCTAAGTTCTGTGCCCAATTTGTCGATTATTTACATGATGCAAACTGAAATAATAATCGACAAGGCACAATTAGGCCTTGCTTTTGGGTAAATCTTCTTCCTTCCTCTTTGACGCCCCGTTACAAGCTCGCCCTGTTTGGAAAGCATTTGATCCGCTTCACTGTTATTCCCACCAAGCTTATTTCTGTGAGGCACAGATGGTTGTGGCCATTGAATTACTCACAGTCTGTCCTGTATTTGAACTGAGCTGAGCAGGAAAACTTCAGCAGCACCATCGTCCACTGGAACGGGCAGTTCTGACAGAATCAAAGCACTTTGGGAAATCAAGTTGATGACCTGGAATTTTGCTTCAGAAGAAAACTGGGAACAAACCACAGTTCTGATAATGTCAAGATCCTTCATTTTGGAATGAATGTTTGCAGTTTCTGTTGTGCAATTATTTTAAAATAATTGTGTGTCGTATTATATTTTATAATGTAAGTCAAATCAAAAACACATTGACCTGAATGGAGGTTTGGTTTCAATTTAACTTCATGTTTGGGAGTTTCTTTCCTATGCAGAATGAAGCCACGTTTCAAAATCGATTACCAAATGGAATTCATGTCCTCTCCAGCTCAAGTCTGCATCCTCCCCTCACCACTGCAAAGTAGGGCACTGCTTTTTCCCCATGGTACAAATGGGGAACTGAGGCTCAGCCTCACTAACTGACTTGCCCTGGGCTGGCGATGATCTAAATGCTTCCAGAATCATCCTGCTTGTCTTGCAGCTGTGATGTCCAGAGCTGCCTAGGGGGGTGAGATGCAGTTTCCATTAATCTCAACGCCCCTTTTGCACCCACATCCCCTAGAAGCTTTGAGCATGCCACCCTCTATTTCTCCCCTCAGCTATCTCCTGTTGAATTGCAATAGATTCAACATGTTCTGGACAAGCATCACATTGGCAAATAGTGCCCAGCTGGGTCCTGAAGGATGGTATCCCTTTTATTCACCCAATGGATGCAGTAGTGGCAGCGGCAAGGCAAACTTGTCTCTCCATGAGGCCTCAGACCTGAGCTGGAAGTGGCTCCCAAAAAAGGGAAAGGGAGATCATCTTCCTCTTTTGCCCTTAGCCTTACAGTACATTTTGTGAGAACAGGGACACGTTGCCAGTAGCTGGAGGGGCAAGCAGTCTCGTAACAGATACTCCTCCATCAGGAGCCCCACACTGACTTGTGTACACACCACCAACCAGAGAGGACACAGGGACCGTGCAGGGTCACTACTGCCCCAGGTCTGAATCTGAATCAACAACCCAGAAGCAGGAGGCACATCATGCTACCAAACTCTTCTCCCTAGCCAGAGGCACCCAGTTCCCCTAATGGCCCTAATTTTTCAAAGCACCTGATCTCTCTTGTGGCTTTAAAGGAGCAGCTGCAATTGTGCTAACTAGTGTTAAAGCTCCAAGTGCATTAGGCACCTCTGAGCTACAGGATAATCTCATGCACCATCCTTGCCCAGCTTATGACGCTGTTAGTGCCTTAAAAGATGGAAATTTTGAACTACAGTTTGTTAGAAGTAAAAAGTTACCCATGGCTTCCTGGAGATATAGATGAGGGCTCAGGATACCCACCTGAATTTCCAGCAGTGCTCAGCATGACTGACCTGTGGCTACTTGGCAATAATTGGTGAACGCGGTGTGTTGACCTGGTTATCAGGAAGTCTGCTATATGAATATGTTTGTTTAGCTAAGGATTGCTCCAGACAAGTCAATGCTTCAGCCAACACCAGAAAGCCAGGCAGGGACAACGGGAAAGCCCCAGGCTTAGAGGACGAGCCAACCAGACTAGTTTATCCAGCAGGTGCAAAACCAAGAACTGACAAGAACAAAAGGATTCCAGCCAGATTAAATGGGAGTGACTCCTCCTTTCTAGCAGCTGTTGGGAGCCGAGGCAAGGTGGGGGACCTTCACTTTAGGCAAGATAGATCTGAACGGAGTCCTGCATAACAGGCTGTGTGGCGTGCCTTTGGCAGGGACCTGGGAAGGAAGACCTAATAGTGAGAAGTTAAGACATAAAAATAACGAGCGTTGCACAGTGCATTTTACTGTCACTGGAGATGTTTTAGCACTAACTGCTCACCAGTTTCCAGAAGGAAGCTTAGACCAGTAGTTAATTTGCATCTATAAGGGACAAATCTACCCTGCCTTCTGCCAGTAGGTAAAGCCAAGGGCTTCTAGTCAGGTGGCATTTCATTTTTAGGCAGTACATGGGTGGGAATTTCTACTCCACCAGAACTAGAAGCACAAGCTCCCTTGGAGATTCTCAGTCTATTTTGGAGTCTCTAGACCAGAGGGAGCTCAGTAGATGTTAGGGGAACAGAGAAGTCAAGGGGCCAGCTTTCTACTCCCAAATCTGCCACGGACTCTCCGCATGTGCCCTTAGGCAAATCCACGCACCCAGCCATTTCTCAACCTGTTGTAAAGCAGGGAAAGCCTGAGGGGGCAAGCCAGGATAAAATAAGGCTTGCGCAGCACTGGGTAGAGATAAAGCCCCATATAAATGCTAAGGAGTATTCATGTATTCTTGTTTTCTTCCCTTTGTGTCAACCTTCTCATGGAACCTCCCAACAGTTAGTCCCTGTAGATAAAGCACCTTATCTCACCCCGGCTTAAAGAAGTCAGCTACTTTGGAGGGCTGGAGTCCAGCAAAACCAGATGCGACCATCTTGATTATTTCTCAGGTGACAAACAAGTCGAAATCAACCCCTCCAAGCCTTCTCTATGCACGAAATAAAGAAATAAACACAGCTCAAAGTCGCCCTTGAAAGATGCCATAGAGAAAATAAGAACATACATGCATTCCTTACAGCAAGGTTGGTGAAACTGGTCCCTGTACATAATTAATGACCTCTCTGCTGGGGTCAGGAGTTGTGCTGACAAGTGTGTCTACAGCAACGGCATCAGACTGACCTGGGGCATTCAGGGACAAGCTACCTCCAGGCTTGGGCAGGGTAGCAGCTTACACTCCACTTTATAATTCACAAGGTCATGTTACTCTCTCTTTTCATATGAACTACAGGAAAACATGCTGAAAGATAAAGGCTGGTGGAAAAAGTTGTCCAAATTTGGAGGTTTTGGAACAGAAAACTGCATATTTGACTAACACCTTTATCCCAATGCCTGCTTTATACAGAAAACCATGCATTTCTTGTGGAAAAATCCAGTATCCACATGCCAACTACTTTGCTGCTGACACGTTTCCTTGGAGCCACGGTTTGCATTTTCCATGCTTTGAAGAGGGATGCTTTGTCCCAGTGCACCCCCTTGTCCTCTATCGGAATGGAAACCAGAGTTTCTCATAGGAGACAGAGCCAGGATGACAGCTAAGAACAGAAACATCTAGTACCCAAACCCCAGCTCCCAGGCTGCAGCCCAGCAACACTGACACATGACATGCTCTCATGTAAAATGTTGTGGTACGGTATTTGAATTTCTGCTAAACAAAAAATAAGCATGTCTGTAGGGAAAAGCAATTCAAGCAACTCTACTAAGCCAGGAAGGTTCACAAAGCGTAATGATCTCCATCCACCTTGCTATCCTTTGTACCTTTGAAAAAAATAATCTCTCTCCCCTCCCACAAGAGCACTAGTTCAAGGCACTTCCAGCTCAAGAAACAGAACAACCAACCAAAAGGATCTTGATAGGATCTTCCAAGAGGATTTCAGGGTAGCTGAAGGCAAGGCAGGAAGCAAAGCCTCTGGCCAGGGTCTTGGCTATGAGAATCTGAAGGATAGAAGCAAAAGTAGAAAGAAACCTAAAGAAAATGCAGTTTCGTTCTCTGCACACACGCACACGCACACCCCAAATCCCAGGGCAGCAGAAGTCAACCATGGGTGTACAACCAGCATCAGTCATCAGGCCCAGAGAAAAGAAGCTGCCTGCCTCCCTTTAGAGATTCAACCCATAAAAGGCAAAGAGAAAATATCAGACACACGAATCAGGAGGATTATGCTTTTAAACACTTTTACATTTGTCTGAATTTTGTACAAATCAAAGCATCCCTTTAAAATCTCCATTATTACAAACATACAAAGGAACAACGTTATTACTACAAATCATCAGCTACTCAATTGCATGATCAAGTTTTCACAATTAAAAAAGAGAGAGAGAGAAAAGAAAACATTATTTTATGTACAGGGTCCTTCTCCCTCTATTATTATTTCTGTAACCAGAGGGACGCTCAAAAGAAAAAGTCCCCAATTTTAAAAATGTTATTGATACAGTTCAGACTTCTTTTAAAAAGACATGAAGTATAAAATTAGGCGCGTTTTCCTGCTGTCGCACTCTGGCGGAGTGCAACGATTCTCGAGCATCCCAAGTCTCTTAAAAAAAAAATTGGAAAGCAAAATAAAAAGAACAAACCCACAGCGTCTCCAATGCTTCAGTGTGTTCCTTCCATGCCCAAAGCTAACAACATCTGAAAGTGCCTTTGAATAAAATCATCTTTGTTTAAAAAAAGAATAAAATAAAAAACCCCACAACTCTCTAGTTAAAAAGATTTATAAAAACTCTGTGAGAGCAGCTGGCCCAGTCCACAGGGCTTGAAGGCTCCTTGCCTTGGACAGCAATTAACCCATTAAAGGCTCCCTCCCCACTGCCCACCTCGCGGTGGGAGTACCGGACCCTGAGATATCTCTTCGCGCTACCGGAGTGGGGCTCACTGCTGGCATTTCATGGAGGAAGCAGGCACGGCTCTTAGGTTTCCCTCCCTAAGAGCAGCTTGATTTTTATCGCCTTCTCTGAGCGCCCCAAGCACAGAGCTCAGGCACCTGCAGCGTTCACCTCGTCTCAGCTCCGATGAAGGTGGATGGCGGGGGGGGGTTCGTTCCTGCTGACCTCGCTGAAACCACCTTGGGTCTCCTTGCCCCAGAAGCAGGTGTTTCAGAGAAGCACATCTTTGCTGCAGAGAACCTTCTTGCCCTTTTACCCTGCCGGCTTTGATGGGGAAGGGGGGTAGGGCGTCTCTGTCCAGCACCCAAGAAACACTTCCTGTTTTGGGGCATTGCTCCCTGCAATACCTTTCTCAGAACTAACTTGATCCTACTCCTGACATCAAGGAAAGAGGCATAAAAACCAACGAGAAGGAATGATGAAGAGAAGAAAGAGGAGAAACTGGAGCAAGGCTATGGAGGGGGGAGTAACCTCCTTCATGTTGGGCAGTCCCAGAGAAGTTCATTTATGCCAGCTCAGTCAAATGACCTGACATCCCAGCTGTTGAACTGGGATCCCATAGAGACACAAGGGGTTAGATACACTTATTCTGCTAGGAGTCCCACACCAAAAGCAATCAACACAGGCAGTCTGGTTTGCCAAAAAAACCCAAATAAAACCCCCAAGATAAAATTCTAGCCCAGATTTTGGAAGTGCTCCCGAGACATGGACTGACTCCAGCTCCCACACGCCGGCTTGCCCTCCATACTCAGAAAGGGAGGGAAGGGCTCGCAGCTAAAAGAGGAACAAAATACTTTGAAATAAAATTCCCACCACAGAGCTCTTGGCATGTCTGAAAAACAGCTGGTGTGGCACTGTGCCCCAGAGCAGCAGGTATCGCATCAGAGAGATGAAATCTCCAATGCTACAGGCCCCCATTGTCTACGTATGGGGTGGCAGTGATAACAACTGGTTAGAAAACAAGTATCTTCCCGTGAGCATTTGTTCTGGAGCGTGGGGGAAGTAGGATGCCTAGGAGCACCTCTCCCCAAGAACAGCTATAATATATAACAGGATTCAACAGATAACCGGACACACTCAAGCATGCTGTCGAAAGGCAACACACACCAGGCGTTTCCATCAAGTCCATAGCAATAGGATCGTAACAAATCTGAGGTTGGGGGTTCCAGCAGGACAGGCAGGCCGCTAGCCAGGCTCCTTGGCTAATGCTGGGGAAAGCTCCCAGTCTCTTTTTGTTTTTAAGGGGAGGTTATCGCTCCCGACTTCTCAGGCTTTTTGCCCTTGGACAGGGCAGCTGCTTGCTTCAGGAGTTCTCTGTTCTTGGCCTGGAAACACAGTGAAAAGGGGTGTTTTAATGGCATGGAACAGCATTAGGCTAGAAGTACCAGAAGAGGAGCTGCTAGCTTCTTGGATGCAGAACGAGGATACAAAAGGTGCTGTACTGATGGCAGCTTTAGTTCATCAAGTCTAGTAGTTCGCTTCCCCCAGCTGAAAACAGCTGCGGCGTCGAGGGCTCTTTCACCACAATGTACCTGGCCAAGGGAGGGCACCATCTCTGACTGCTGCAGGTTTCCAGCATGCAGCATGACAGATTTTTATTAGATCAGCTAGGGAGGGGCTGTTCATTCCCTCCCCCAGGTACTTTGTATGACACGTGCTGGATTCACAGCTCCGGAGCCCAAAGGCCTCATGCTATACCCTGCTGGCAAAAAGGCACTGCAGACCCCCCTGCACTGCACCCATCTCAACTCTGACCAGCCCCACAGTGGAGTGGCTTCATCAGTTTTCCTGTCTTGTTTCCCCCCGGGCCTCTCGACTGAGGCTGCCAACAAGAAGACTCCCAGGGGTGCAGCACTGTCCTGGTGGGTTCTGCGATCCCAGTGCACCCCAACAAAGGATGAGACAGAAAACATCACAAAGCACCTGGGGGGCTAGAGGAGCAATGGCCTTTAGTCAGTGCAACGTGGCCTGGATTCAAACAGAGCGACCTAGAAGTGACAGGCTCTAGGTCTCTCATCCCCAAACCCTAAGCCACCTCTCCCCATGCTGAAAAGCTCTCTGGCTGCCCGCAGATCTTGTTGGCACAGCAGAGACAACCTATGAGCTTCTGCACAGAAAGGCAGGTATGGCTGTTCTGGTTCTGTTTGCACTGAGTGGACATCCCAATAAGAAAGCAGCCGCTGCCTTCACCGTTTGGGTCACAGGACAGCCAAGAAACAGCATGAGCCAAGATTCAAGCGGTGCTGGACAGACGGATCACCAACAAGAGACCAGAGTGTCTCTGCACCAGCACTGGAGTATCCATTGCCCTTTGCAGCTGGTGAGCCTACAGACAACCCCTTCACCCTGGAGAGGACAACAAAACCAAGAGAACACGACACATAAAGGAAGGGGGAAATCTCACAAAGACTTCAAGGTACCTGCAATACACCAAGAGGGTTTGAACTTTTATTTTGGAGCCATCGGATAAAGAATTTCCAAAATCTCGACCAAGGACAGCTGACGTGTAGAACTCAGAAAGAATAGGTTTTGGGCAGTCCCATCGACAGCCAAGTACAAGCAGCACAGAGATTCACACACACACAGGCCTCCACCCAAAAATACCAGGGAAGCTGAGGAATAAACCAGGTCAGGGATTTGTATCTTGCCCTTTTATGTCCAAACTGAGCAAGGTTAGGGCTGTTGCAAGGTGCCTGACTGACACCTTGTAAGGGCAATGTCTTCTAGCCACAAAACAGGTTCAGCACTATCTCACCAACGTGCTTTTGCCCTGATCTGGAGGGATCATCTTGAGAAGGAAAATGAAAATCAGTCTCTGCTTAGCCCATGGCCACTCAGCTGAGAATACTGATAAAAGGTGATGAGTTAGCGGCAACATGAGAGATGGGCAATCATCTGCTAGCAACTAAAACAACAGCACTCTCTTACTCTACATGGGCCATTTAATGGGCTGCAGATGACAGCAATTTTGGGTCACTGCTGACGTGGAGAAAGCAACATCAAAACGCCAGGTTCTGATTCCATCACCAGCTCTTCCAAGCCATCCAGTGTCTCCCACTCCCTCAATTCTAAAAGAAAAATTGTCAAGCCCCATCCCACCCACCTCAAAACTAAGATCACGGACCAGATTCAAATCCTGTCCCAGTCTATGTGGGCAGGACCTCACAGGCACTTGTCTTCAGACAGCACCTGTAAGCTACAATACTTGTCCTATGTTCTAATTATTAAACTTGGGTGGGTGATTATGGTCATAGGGGAAGGATATTTTCTCTTGTGTGAATCCTGGGCCTGTGTTGCATCCCCACCCTCACTGCTAGAAATTTAGACCACTGCCAACTCCAGAAGGAGGAACTTAGAAGATGAACTCTGCACGCAATGACCAATTTCTTGTTTTAGGAAATAACCCTGTGGTCCTATCTTTTGCAGACCAGAATTTGTTGCAGCCGATAGTCCATCCTCTGAACACAAACTGGACCTTCCCCACCAGCTCAGGGACTTCTTCACAATATTAATATAGTCCAGCAACAACAATAAAAAAAAAATACCCTGGCAATGCCTTTTGGGGGCCTGATAAAGATTTGAGAGAAGTTGCAGCAGGTTGATACTGAGAGGCAAAAGCAGAGCTCTGGGATGGAGGGGTGCAAGGGCTGCAGGATTGAGAAGCATTAGTGGAGCCAGATGTGTGGGAGCTCATGAGGTGACCGAGTGTTCTCAGGTATTCCCAGGAACACTGCAGTTCAGCAAATTAAAACCCAAATGGCATCACCTGTAACTGCTCTGTGACTTCCTTGTGCGTCTTCTCCATTTGGTTCATCTTTGCCCTCATCTGGGATTCTTGGTACTGCAGGTCAGCCTTCAGCTCTGTAATCTGGGGAGAAATGAAACAGCAGGTGAATGAGGACAGAGGAGACCAGACCAACGACCTGCACACTGAACAGGTGTCCGGGTCTGGAGAAAACCTCTGCAGAAGTCACTTTCAGAACGGGCATGTTGCTGTAGTAATAGTTATGGTCCAGGCGATATGCAAGAAGCAGGATTCATTTTGTGGTATCTTTTATTATTAGGTCATTCAAGGGACTTGGTAATAAATGCATCAACGATAGTGTCTTGGGGTAATGCCAAGACTCTTTCAGAAGCTGCAGACCTTTACTGAGTGCTACAGTGATGGGATCCATATAGGACTCTTGGCTAGAGTCCATGTTTGGTAACACCCTTGGAAAGGGAATTCATGGTCTGATTTCCAAAGGTGCTGACCACCTACCGCTCTGGGTTCCTTCTGCCAGGCTCTGAAAAAAGGCCATTACCCACTCTATGCCTCAGTTCCTCTACTTAAAATGTGAATAATGATACCCACATGACAGTGGGGTTTGCAAGACTGGACTAACCCTTCTGCTGTGTGGTGCAAGCAGCATGTATTATTCTGTATGCTGCTGCTAGGGGAAGCTGTTCTGAATCCCCTGGGCAGCGTGCGGGCGCGCAGCACGGACCGTACCTTCTTTTCCTTCTCCAAGATCATCTGATCTTTCTGGTGCAGCATCTTCTTCAGAGTGGCCACTTCCTCCTTCAGCTGGGCAATAATAACAAAGTGGTCTGTGCCGGGGGAGTCCAGGGCAAGGTCTGGAGAAAAACTACAGGAAAAAAAAAAGGGTTGGGGGGCGGAAAAAAGGGATTTTATCACAACCGTTTCTAGTCACAGACATATGGAAACCCCCACATGGATGGCATGGCACATATAGAAGAGATTAGTTTTGAATAGCTACATATGAACAGGCTCATCCATTCACCAGCATAACCTACTCCTGGTCTCTGAGCATTACCTAAAGCTTTGTCTCCAGATCACTGGGAATCTGTAGAGAACAACACTGCACGGTGGTTGATTTCCTGAGGCCTGACAGGATTTACCTGCTACAGCAAGTTTAACGTGACACAGTCAGCAAGAAAGGACACAGGATTGTTACAGACTTTTCGTAACCATTAAGCCAGTGTCTGCGGCTTTTCTATTTGCAGTAATCAACCATTTTCAAACCAGGAGGTGTGGAATGCAATCAGTGCGCTAATGAAACTTTTACGCAACCACCTAGGAACCCTCTTTAGGTCACTGCATGTCTGGGGGAAAAAATCCCTTTCATTAAATGCAAATCACGACTGTGGTAAAAAATGGAGCAGGAAAAAAGACAAATAACCCCCAAGTTAAACAAACAATGTAAAACGGATGCCTAGATTATGGTCAGAGCTATCTGCAGGAAGCAATGCATTAGGATTTCTGTAGTTTGATTCCCACCATGGTGCAGCAATTTGGGAAGAGGCTTTGTTACCACATCAAAGAAAGGAGTGAAGAAGAAACAGACGCTTGGCTCTACAGAGCTAGCTGGCTGGCTGACAGTTTGTTTGGATAAGAGATGCTCCTTTACTTTGGTAATCCATGAAGTCTCCCTACAAATTACCAACACGTAGGGCAACTGGACTATTTTTGTAGTGCAGCAGTGCCTAGAACCGTATCATGGCTCAGGATCCAACGGTGCTTTGTGCTGTACAACCGCTGAACAGAGACAGTCAACAGCCCAGAAGCTTGCCTCGCCTAAGGACCCGGCCATCACCTACTATAACTCTGGGTCCGGCTGCCTTTTCAGAGCATTCCACTGGTGCAAATGAGTTGCAATAATGGATAAAGTGATACTGTCATAAAATGTTAAAGTTTTAATAATAAAGTACATGGTAAAGTTTTGTACCCAGCATCCTACCAGCTTAAACAGTCTGCTTGTTATTAGGTAACATAGCTGCCACAGAAGTGGTGAGTAGAAGCCACAATGTGTAGCACAGCCTCTACAACAAGATGCCGTGCCTTGCAGATGAAGCCTGTAAGTGCCCCATGTCCCTACCGTAGGCCTGTATACATCAGAAGACAAGTGCAGCATGGTCCGATGCATCCAGACCCTACACTTCACCATTACAGACCTGCTCCTGGGTCTTAGACCAGTTACATCACTATTCTCAGCCTCAGTTTTCCCATCTGTGGAACAAGAATATAAATGGCTGCTTCTTACTTTGTCTGGAATCTCTTTGGTACTTGGAAAATATACTGATCTAATGTGACATAGTTTGAATGATGAGGTATAGTATTAAGGAGGAGATGCAGAAAGACTCCCTATGCACAGGGGAGGAAAAGCCTAAGAGGAGAAATTCAACAAATGAGAGTTGCGCAGGTAAGGGGTGACTGAGACCCAGCCCATGGGGCTCCCCCTAGCTCCAGAAATTTGGCAGCAGGGGAGCAGTAGCAGCATTAATTACCACACCTCCTGGGCCTGTGGCAATCAACACTGCCATCACTCGTCCTAGCATCTAATTTCCAGCCCTGTAAGGATTCCCACAGGCCAGATGACGCAGCTCTGCATGCCAGATTGGGCCCACGGACTGGCCTCGTATGGCCAGATGAGTTGGGCACCACTGGTGTAGGTCATAAAGGTCACAGACCAGACCAGGAAATGTTGGAAATGAATCCCAGGCAAGGCAGTCAACATCTGCAGGACTCTGCACAAAATTAGAACACAATAACTAACCCAATGGTAAATGCTTGGCGTGGACAAGAACAGGAGAAAAACATCAGGTCAGTAACCCACGGCTACCCTCAGTGCAGAGCCCCCTTTGTTCAAAACACCTGCCCTTGCCTGTGGCTTTTCAGGCTGTCTTAGTTGCACAGATTCAAACGTCTAAAGCTCCATAGGCACAAACTGGCACCTCTCCCCAGAACACTGTGGACTCAATGTGGCAGCAGCCTGCCTGTACTCAGGAGGGTGAGGTTCCTGGCCTGGAAAAGCAGAGCAGCCTCCAATGCCTTCACTGGTGACCAAGGCACTAATATAACCCTCAGGTCCTCTGCTCTCTGAACGAGAGCTTCCGGCTACCGCACACCACTGAGGCATGTTGGCATGAGAAGAAACGGAGGAAGAAATGTCAAGCCTGTTCTGGGAGGGTGGGTGAAGAAAAGCTTCTTCACAAAACTTTCCAACTGAAAACAAGCCTGTGCTTATCCTCCTTACTCGGCCACGAGGGATTCCCTCCTGCCAAGTCCTGCAGCAAGAGAGGGTGCCAGATTTGCCGACTTCCCAGGGCAACTCGCTCAGGAAACTTCCATTCCCTGCGTCTGCTCTCACACCAAAATGCTTATTAAAACAGAAAAGTAGACTGGAGAAGAGCGGTGTCTGCCCCCTCAGCAAGGAACAGGAAGGACAAATAATTTGAGGCTGTTTTCTCACCCTATTCTACCCTTAACAAATTGGCAAGTCGGGAGTAAAGATAAAGGGTCTCACTCATCCTTTGGTTTTTGTGCCTAGAAAAGAGAGAGTAGGTGTAATTTTTGCTGCTATATTTTAAAGTGGCCATGTATCCAACTCATATCTGGGCGCAACATGCACCCACAAATAATCCAAAGGTGCAAAGAACAGAACTTCATTTTGAAGCTGAGTCAATAAGCAAAAGATCCCTTCTCCCTGACCAAGTGAGGGAGCCAGCTACAGACTTCAGCATGAGAAGACTACAGAGCAAACAAATCAGTGAACATCCGTTTAACAAGGACAATCCCTGCACACAATAAGGAAACTGTGAAAGCCCAGGTCTGGGTCTACTGTAGCCTTCTGCCCTCAACACCTCTGGAGGGCTGTTTCCATTGTTTGGGGACTTTGATATTGAAACAAGGCTGACTTAAAGGATGCTGTCAAGGACAACGGGCCAACATTCAAATTGCATCAAAAAGGCCTTAGACACATCCTCCCCAGACATAAAACTGCATAAAAAACAAATACTTTTAGAGGAAATGGTCGCTCCCCCTGGGCTTGTTTTACAGAGCAGGCAGTCCAATCATGCCCACTAGGTACTTACAGCACGGGCATGGCATACTTGTACAAACGGGAATATTTCCACTGAACAAAACTGACTGCTCAGCTACATAAGCATGTCTCCCAGGGCTCATGGAGAGGCAATCTAGGCCCTTCTATTCTAAAAGGTTCACTCAGGGCACCAATGAGGCAGTGCATAGGCCTGTCATGCCTTGGAACTGGATTTTGAGTGTGGACACCAGTGAAAGGAGTGTGGTGCTGTTAGCTCAATCCACCACGGACATTTGATTATATCAAAAGACCACATGTGGCTGCCTCTGCTAAGGAGAAGCCAGGCAAGGGGTGCAGTAGGTCCGGAAGGAGGTGCCTTAGCAAACTTGTGCGAGGTGGCTCTGGATGCAATAGCAATAGGTGCTACAAGTGAATATGGGAGACACCAGGAGAACTGGGTGAGACACGTAGGAGAGTACTGGACTGAAGGACCCCGGGAAACTTGGAAAGGTAGGGTTTGCTGCAGGCTGGTACCAATGGGCACTGACAGAACTGACTGGGAAAGATGCTGAGCCTTTTGCCAGAACCATTAAGTCTCTTAGCTCTACGTGCAGCAAACATCACCCCCAAGTTAACACTAAAACAGCCAACAGTTACATGAAATTGTAACAGAGCTAAAGCAAAAGTCATTTGGCCACCCCCAAACCACAGGACAGAGCAGGAGAACCCAGAAATAATCATCACAAACATGCAATCCCAGAGAGTGTTTAGGGGCTCAATGTAATACAAGAGTTTCCACATGATAGAAAGCCTCCAGGAGGTGAGAAAGGCAGATAAGGTGGACCATTTTTGGAGCTGTTACCCAAGTTAATTCAGCTCAGGGACACACAAATATTGCCCATATGAAGGCTGCACTAGCAATCTACCTGGACCCCAAAGCCAGGACCGCAATGCAGCTGTTCCTACTGGGCTCTGTTTTGGCCTGTGGTCTGCACCCCGCAGTCAGTCAAATTGCTGTACGATCTACGAAGAATCAGAACTCAGGATTAAACCTAATTACCCACTAAACATTACTGCTGCTTGACAGCAATGCAGCCACCGGTCTTTTTAACATGGCTACAACTTCCATCACGTGCAGCGCACAGTACAAGGCAGAGCTCAGTAGTAGCAGCAGCTATGAATTCTGCCTAACTTGCTAAGGGCATATGCTGAAAACAAGAAGTTTGCAGGCAGACCCACAACTTGCCAAGGCTCCAAAAGTTGGAGTGACGAGGCCCGGTGCAAGAACAAATTGAAATGAAACGAGTTGCCTAATTCAATGCAAGTCAACTAGTAACAGATTTTAGGGTGTGGAGCCTTTTGCTTCTACGCTGGCTTCAGAGCTAGCACTGAGACTGAAGTGAGTTATTTGGGTCTCAATCCAGCCTCATGCAAGCAGATATAAGGAAAACTCCACAGTGACAATGCTTCACAGCCTGGCTGGCAGCCCCAGCAGGTGCAAAGGAAACAAGAGTCCACTCTAGGGGGTAGCTTCCATTGCTACTGTAGGTGGCACACCTGTTCTGCCCAAGGGAATGAGGCGTGGTACTCAATCAACATCAATCCTCGGCCTTAATTTGCATTCAATTCAGTTTGAAGAATTCTGCCATCACTGCGCCCCTCCAGAATTCTTTAAGCTCAATTTCATGCTTCAGAATTTCTGCTGTGACCAGCCCCAGACCACAGGACGGCAGCCATCTGCAGGACAGAGGCGACTTCGCTTCAGGACGGATGACGAGTAATTACCAGTTACTTTGAGAGACTTAACAAGGCTCCCCAGCACTAACAAGCCTATGCTGTGGTCCACGCTTTCAATTCAATGCAGTTTGGAAGGAGATCCAGTGACAGGGACAGTTTCCATGGGCGCGGCCATTTCCAGGGAGGGAGGGCAACGGGGGAGAAAACAATAGGTGATCTCACTTCAGGTTGTCAGTGCCTTGAGAAACAGGATAATGATGGGCACCGAGACTCTGTTGGGAAGCAGCCCACTGCACCAACACGGACGGGGCACTCTGGATAGGGGGGCAAAGCATCTCGGGAGAGGAAGGAACGCTGAGAATCAGAGAGGAAAGGGAGGAATGAAAATATGCATGTACAAGAGTAAAAAATAATATATCCATCTCCTGACACAGCTCATGGGCCTTGTTCTGCCATGGCAGGCTTCAGGGCTCACGGAGCTGCAGGCTTGCTGCTCTGGCAGAACTCAGCCCGCTGCTTCCAAAGCTGCTTATCATTTTCCCTCGCTCATGACAGGCGGGGAAGATGGGTGACCTGTCTATGTTTTCTCACCTAATGATTCTGTCCCCTACTCTAGCGCTTTTTCTGATTATTCTAAGAGATAAGGCTCTAGCCTCAGGAGTGCCCCCATTTCAGATGTGATCTCTGTAATGCAGCTTGTGGCCACCCTCTCCCTGGCCCTGCAGGGTGAGGACAAGGCGGAACCCGCTGCAGGTTTCTCACTGCTGGTGAACTCAACCAACAAGTCATTTCCTATGCCTGCAGGTACAAGCTGATGGCTACCTTCTGATTTCCACATGTAGGTCTCATGTGCCAGGTAGGGCTGGCCCACTGGGTCCCAGAAAGCTGCTGGTGCAGCCCCTTGGAGTCCCACAGTTTGAGAGCCCCCGTTCTATCAGAAACACACCCTGCTACTTCCACTGAACTCTCTCTGACACCAGCTTCAAACAAGCAAGACCCCTCCCCCCTGCACCATCCCCAGCTACCTGGCTCACCTGTCACCGTTGGCAGAAATGGCATCGAACTTGGGTTTCTTCTTTGGAATTTCATTCTGAATAGAAGATGTGGATAAGGTTTTCTGGCTGGGAAGGTGGGAAAAAAAGACACATCACAACTGAGAACGCCTGCAAATGCAACATCACCCTGCCCCATAAGAAAGAGACGCAATTAAACACCATCCCACACTTCCAAGCCCAGCATGGGAGATCTCCAAACAATAGTCAGAGTACAAGGGTGAGTAATCAGAAGTCCCTGGTTTTTAACCCTGGCTCTGCCACTGACTGGCTGTGTCACGTAGAACAAATCACTTTTACCTCTCGGTACCTGTTTTCAGCCAGCCAGAACAGCAAACTTACCCCCTTGGTTTAAGGCACACTCCTCATTAGTTGTATAAATACAGTTTACTTTTAATTTTTCTATGAGAAAACTCACTAACTAGACAGGGGACATTTTGTAAATAGGTGGCTTTGCTCCAGAGCTGAGTCTGCTGTGAAAACCCTGAGAAGCATTGGTTATTATAAGGAGTTTGCAGCAAAACTGGGTTTGCATACGAATGAGAATCAGGGTGTTTAGAAAGATGAATAGTTAGATAAAAAATATTACCCTGCACTGAGGTCTAAGACATGCTTCCCACTGGTATTCAGAAGGGTGGCAAAGGAAGCATGCAGTTCCCCTGCTCTGCTGCTCAGAAATGTGTCTCTAGTACAGCAACATTTAGTCCTGTGTTGAAGACGCACAGCAAAATACATGCCCCGACACATACCAAATGCACTCCAGTTCAGGTACTTTAAAAGCCACAAGCCTCTTTAGCCCCAGTGACGACTGATAGTGATAGATAATGATGAGTGGTAGTGATAGCGCATATATTGCTTTATTTGTGACTGCAAGAAAGACATCCCACTGCATCCAGCAAAAAAGGATTTGCTAACATCTTCTGCTAAGAGTCATATGTGGCTTGGGAGTGTCACAGGTTTAGCCCAAAGATGCAAGTGCTGGGAGGAAGCACCTGCAGCAGCAGTTTCATACAAGTTACCTGTTGTAATGGCTGCCACCGCTGATCCTGCTGTACTGCTCCTTCTCTTGGAGGCTCGTCCGGGAAGAGCTGCTGAGATGTTTGCGTTGCTCTTTAGTCTTCTGTAGGACCCGTTTGTATGACAACGTGCACAGCCAGCACAGCAGCTTCCCATCCACCTGCGAGGGAAGGCAAAGAGGCAACAAGGAGAGGATTTCCCTCATATCTTGCCTACAACTTGAGCCTACATTGCATTAGCAATATCCTCACGGTTTATGGGCCCCAAGATGATCACACAAACAATGATTTGAGGCAACCCTGAAGTGTCTTGGAAGCATGATGACTGCATTTAGCACCGCCATGAGCAGCACCATGAACAACGACAAAAGCTCAGCATGACTACAGTCTATCCTATGCTGAGATTTTTGGACGTTCTATAATCAAAGTCACATCCTGCACAAACCGGGGTGTTTACGAAGTCAAAGCCCCACAGCTGTACCTAGATGGGCACCCTGGGAAACCCAAGCACTGCTGCTGCACGTAGAAATGGCAAGAACAAGTAGAAAGTTTGAATGATGCAACACAAGGCCTCAGTCCTGCAAAAACCTGTACGAGCACTTCACTTCGGGACTGCTCGCAGGGCATCAAGAACACATGCAAGTCGTTACAGGATCAGGGCTATGAAACATGTTTGTGGGCAGGACACATCACTTTTGCACAAAGTTGAGGACCCTTGGTCCCATTTCATAGCGAGGTCCCCTTCTCATTTGTGCCCCCTCCTATCCTCAGCCCAAATTCAAGAGGAGTTTCAGCATGAAGTCTGATGAAGGAGCTAAGATGCTAAAAGAGCAAACAGTTTCACCATACATCTCACATCTCTCTCAGGTAGCCCAGGAAATATTTTACAGCCAGTACAAGTTATTACAGCCAAAACTCTCACTCCATGCAAAAGAACCCGTTGTGGCAATCAGTCCTTCCATCACTCCAGCTCCTAGTTACACAGTGCTTAGGGTCAGAAGGGACCTAAACAGATCATCAGGTCAGACCTCCTGCCCCAAGCAGGAATGAGTGCTGGGGTCATAACACCCCAGCCAAATATCAGTATCATTCTATACACGTGTACTCACCTTCTTCCTGTCATCCTTTCTGTCAAACGCGCACTGCTGCTTGCACTGTTCGCATGAATGTGGTGGCCCATACTTCTTTTCAGAGTTCGTACAGCGCTGGCACTTGTTGCCAATAAACGCTGCTATTATGTTGCAGTACTGGCACGGTTTTGGCTTTAAAAAGAAAGAGCAATAAAGTACAGTACAGTAATGTTTTAAGATTGGAGAACATATGTGCAGCTTTCTAAATATAGAAGATACGTGCAAGGCTCTTTTCTCTCATTCCAAATGCTGCCATCTTTGCTTATTTTCCTACATTAAACTAATACTGCAACACCGACTCAGAAGTTGCACGTGTACCTAGTCAGGCCCAGGAGCAGAGTCTGGAACTAAAACCCCACGTGATTAGCCAGGACACCTGAATCACCCTGATTCTGCGCAAAGCGCCATGAAACCTTTCACAAAAAGTCAGGACCTCTGCTTTGCATCTAGTCCAGAGGGGAAGAAAGGTTTGTCTCTGTTTCTTGGGTGACTTCTAATTTAGATATATAACTGCATTCTGGCTTCCTTTAATCCCCCTCATAGCTCCGTCGGGCATGTGAAAGTTTATACTGACCTAACCTGAGACAAGGAACTGCTTGCTATACACTACAACAAACAGTTTCCACATTTCACCCCAGCACGTGTCACAGTTCATGTGTCACCTTCCACAGACAGCCTGAAACCAGCCTTGGGATCCTCTGGGATGACACGCAATAGGAGAAACACTATGTTAAGTCACAGGATTGAAAGGGAAAGGTCCTAGCACTTACCGTCCCATATAGCTTCACGTTCTGAGCACATTTCTTGCATATTGTGTTGGTTTTGCTGTTAAAACAAAATACATATTACAAAAAAAATCATTATTTTGCTGGGACAATTTATGTGCAAAATTAAGCCTCCTGCAGTTAGGTCCTGAATTTCCCCTAACACACAAGTCCGTTTGCAGGAGTTTTATATTCACCTTGCTCCCAGCATTGATATCAAAGCCAATTTTTGTCATTCCCGCCTAGCTGACAATAATCTTCCAGGTTACCAAAAGGGATCTTTTTATTTTTAGGCCTCCTCAGAAGATATCAGGCTTTCAACTCTGCAGGTGTGATCTCAGTTGGATTTGGATCAAAGCAAGTTATTTGGTCACCAACTAACCAGTCATGGACATGACAAATACCAGCGACCATCTCATTTCAGCACTGGAATTGCACCATGAACACAAGCTAGGATGGAAGTTTGTTTGGGCCATTCATGCAGGGGGGGAAACGGGACCATTGCACAGCACCTCCAGTCCCCTACCCTCAACTGCAGCTGGAAAGGCTCGCGTCTTTTCTTCAAAGATTATCTGACTCACAGAAAAGGGTTTTAAAACTAAGCGGAGTACCAGACATTGATGGTTTTAAGTGCAGGGCCTGGGAATGGTACATACTTTACAGAGGAGTCACTTGTGCGCATCAAGCGATCTATATGAGGAACACCTGATAGCTACAGCATCCAGGCATTGCCCTGAAGGATGGATGTCATCCAGCACCAACCAGGAAAAATGCCAAAAAGCAAGGACCCTGCCAGCTTCTTCTGTGGATGAAACCACACTGTCACGGCCAACTAGCCTGCTGGAGTGGACACCCGCAGGTCCCACGTTGAGCACTGTGGTGGGACAAATGGGGAGGGAGCCCCCATCTTAGCCTGCCAGTGTTGTATGAGCTCGAGGGGAGACAGCAGCCTCAGAGCTGTCAACAAGCATCGCCTTGACGCGGACACGGGGCCGAGCGGTCCCCGTGGCGGAGGGGAGCTGCCGACATGGGAACGCTGTGGAGGTGCGTGAAAGACCCCCGAACCACCCATTCCTCAGCATCCCGCGCTTACACCAGGCAGGCGTTTACCTCTCCTGCTGGAACTCGGTCCTGCAGTAGGTACATTTGACGATGGGGTGTGCAATGCGGCACTC